TGCGCCTTCTCCCGCCTCCGCTTTTATTGACTTGGTCATGACACGGAGCCCAGGTGGAAGAAGGGGAGCGGGTACAGCAGATTCAGCGCTAACCTACCCTCACTATAATTTGATTCTTGCGCAAGTTGCCGTCCCTGCCCTACGGTGGAGCCCGTCGAATTATTCATGATTCGTCATCTTATTCTGCCACCATCGTTTCCTTCTTCCTTTTTTTCCAACTACCACGTCAGTTATTGCATCATCTGAGTATTTGCACCCACACACCGAATTTACTTTCCTCTTTTACTCCCCCGACCTCGTCTTATAGGCTGATTCATAGATTAATTTCTCCGCCAGCAAGTGTGTAACTTCTTTAACTTTAGACTTTCTGTCATATCTGGGAGGCAGACGTCTTTACTTCACTAGTCATTTCTTGGGCACTGCACACACTTTTTCCGATCTCTGTTTTATCCTCTTGGCATGACAATTTTCCCGCCCTCCCAGTTGAACCTGTTTGGCTCATCTCATTAGCACTGCCCCTTTCTGCTCATTACTACAGGCCTTACTAGAGTTTGAAGATCACATCACGTTCTCCAGTTGGCTAGATTGCACGCATCGTGCCTAGCTATTATCTGTGGTTCAACTAGCACGTGTTGGGTGCATACGGACAACCACTTCGGCTAGTGGCGGAATGCATCTCAGGGTTTGCCGTGTTGTCTATCCACCCAAAGAATTTGTGTCGATTTTGTTTGATTTTTGGCCAGAAATTATCTGTAAGCCTAATGTAGGCGGACATCCCGCAGTGGACGGACCATCAGGATAACTAATGGATGGTAGCAGCGTGTCTAAACCTAGGTTGGGCACCTTCTCCATTGTACTCTGGATCAGCGTCATAGACGCTGCACTCGTAGGCCGGCAGGTATGATCTGCTCGTTACTGAAACGATTTATCTTGACCGATACATTGATGTGGCAGTGGTAAGGCTTGTGGTGGTTTTAGTTAATAAATGATTACCCAGCACTAACTAACAGTGTGCTTTTTGGTTCAGACGAGGGGTAAGTGGCTGACGTCATCAGTTGCGTAGAGCCAAACGGCTAACCACCATCCTTTAGGTTTGGGCCCCCTTTTGCAATATGTTTTGGAATTGGTGACAGCCTTAAACATCTTTCCGTCCCATTCTGGAACTAGATGACTCAGAGATCGTCCAGGAGTAGATTTTCAGCTGCTTATGCTCTACTGCAGTTTTTCCTGGTGGTATGTTATCATCAAGGCGGCCCCTTTTGCCAGAGTTCAGATTGTTGCTCACCTGTCATTCAGTAACTAGTCACATACCCGGCCTCTGACAACCTCGTCTCTACACACCCGTTATCAAATAACCTTTCAGTATTGTGGTGATTTGGTTGCTGTTCCGTATATGCGAATTTCGCATCAGCAGGTGGCTAAGTACTGCCTTCTATTTACTGGGTAAGACCAGCCACGTTGTCGCA